TGACTTGAAAAATAATAGTGAGGTCAGCATAGAATGACTCAACGCTAGAGATGCATGCAGTCAAATCTCCGTTTGATTGCACACTGTGGGGCGCGTGGACCTAGGGACAGTTGCTGCACTGGTGGTCATCGCAGAAACATGACAACACAGTGAGTGATCTGATAGGAACTGGGATTTATATATTTGTGCTTGTTGATCAGTAAATGAGAACTAAGAAGCATGCAAGTGAATGGTTGACATTAGTTGTAAACAAAGTTTACCATTGCATTATATAGGCTGTTATGCATATTAAACCTAATGATCAGCTGTTTAGATATCTCTGTGTGTGTGTGTATTACTTAATATGCAGTGTTTCTTTAGAAAAGGAAGAAGTGACTGTTCATATGACGTAGGTTATTAACCACGTTGACATGTTGAGCAGCCCTAGATCCGCTGCGCGTGGTCTATAGCCTATCTTTCTTTTATCTTGGAGCTCGTGCTTGTGTAGCCTATATAGGGTACATTGTTGCCTCACTTTGTTGCAACGTGCCATGGAATTAGTGACTGGATAATCCGTGTTCTGCAACAAAGGACTGCCTTCTCGTAAATAGCGCTGAGCTGGCTGGCGGTGGGGACGCCGTGCGGAGGTGGGGGGTCCAGCAAGGGTTGTTCCGATATAGAACGCAACATGTTTTTTCTTTTCCTTTTTTTTGCTGTCTGTGGGGAATTCTTCTCACTCCCCCATGTCAAATACAACGACTGTGCGTTCGCTTTCACCGCGGTGCCCCTTGGGTGCACGGTATTCGCTGTTTAAATTAAGAAACGCTCGGGGATTAGGTAATTACGGTTTAGGTACTATATTAACGGCGTTACCTTGGTTAAAAACGACAGGGGGTTGTTACTGTGTCATTATCCCACTAACCTACACTCGATAGCCTATAGAAAGGTTAGGGGGACATCGTGTTACTGCGCACATATTTCATATTGCATAAACAACACTGCAAAACACACTCCATATGATTTCTGCTGTTCAGCAAAATAGGCCAAGGCAATGCGACTTGCACGTTCTTAATATAGGGTGCTCACTCCTCTCTCCAATTCCCTGAAATTGATAAGAGGTATTTCTTCATGAACACGGTGATGCATTCACATTGTTTTTTATAGCCTATATTGGAACAGCATCTACATAATTGTTCCTCATTTGGATTTTAGAAGAACACGCTATAATATAACATGTTATAAATATCCTTGGCCAGTGCAATAGAGTGTCCTGTCCTCACCATGGTGCTGAGTGATTCGTGCTTTTTGAAGTCGTTTCGTTTCCGTTTGAATAATAAAAAAATAATCAAGGTTTTCAATTAAGGTTTGGATCATTTTTGCTGTCTGACAAAATCACAATTTTAGTAGTTCTTCAAAGTAAATAAGGCATACTTTTATGACTGCTGAATAACAGATATCAATCACTTAGATCATGTATTTTCACTTAGAGATACATCATGAAGCAACTGCTCTCGATCCCTCATGCATTTTTCTGTCTGTTTTACATTGCAGGTGTAAAAGAAACAGAACCTGGACAAGTAGGCTCGCAATGGATTAGGGTCATTGTAGTTAATTACCACGTTATCTGTGCTAAACTATTTAGAATAATGGCCGTTGGAAACTACAACTCCCTACTACTACAGTTCGGGTTTGATCTGATTTATCTCTAGAGAAAATGGCCAATGTGCGCATTGAACTCACAGAAAAAAAACCCCGAAATAAATTCAAATAATTGAATGAACTGATGTCAGTCAGTTAGTTGTTTAAAAACCAAAAAATAACCAACATTTCGGTTAGTCACTCAGCACTACCTCACTGTGAAGTGTGGTCGGTCAGACAGTCAAGTTACAATGTTGCCCCAGTGCAGGATATGAACTGCTGCAGCTGTCTATTTTAAAGTTGCTACATCCATTTTTGGATTTAGAAATTAATTATATATAGGCCTACCCATTGATTTTTGAAAAATATTACTTATAAATGCCTCATGAGCTTAGTTCACATCATCAGCCCAAAATATTCTTAATTTTTTTATGCAATGTTTGTAAACAAAGTAAATGTAAACAGACACTGTATAGCTTCAAAACATGGTTAAAATTATAATTTTGATATCGTGGATGGTCAGTCCTTGCATCCAGAACTCTGTCTATGAATTTGAGAGTGGTGACATTTCTCCAGGCCCATCCTTCAGCATTTACCAAAACAGAGGTGGGGTGACCCTTAGTTATTGTTTGAATGAAGGACTGTAGCTTTAAGGTGTGTGTTTCCTAGATGGTTGCTACCTAGGCCATACAGCTCCTCTGGAGATTGTAGTGCATGCTATCAGTGCATGCTATAAAATATTTCAATTGCAATTCAATTCAATTGCAGAGGGGTCTGTATCTTTGTGTATCCAGATTGCGATTGTCATAACGTGTTGTCATGACAATGGAAGTGATGGCCAGAAAGATTTGGACTACAATACATTTGCCTTTTTTATATGTCAAAGCCGACTGACTAGCTGTGACGGAAAATTAAAATGTCATATTTTGAACTTTAGGCCTTTATTCTAAAGGTCATTGTGAGTCATGGTTATTCTCTCATTATCCCATCTCTTGTTTTCCTATTGAACATGCAGGAACAGGGTCAAGGGGTGACAGGTTCCCCTTTTGAGGATGCAGGAACAGGGTCAAGGGGTGACAGGTTCCCCTTTTGAGGATGCAGGAACAGGGTCAAGGGGTGACAGGTTCCCCTTTTGAGGATGCAGGAACAGGGTCAAGGGGTGACAGGTTCCCCTTTTGAGGATGCAGGAACAGGGCCAAGGGGTGACAGGTTCCCCCTTTGTCCTGAATGACTCAGAGACCAGTGAGTCAGAGCACCAGTGCAAAAAGAGAAAGTAGTATGCATCCCAAATGGCACCACATTCCCTAATTAGTGCACTAATTTAGACCAGGACCCATATGAAATAGGGTGCCATTTGGGGCACAACCAAGTAACATTTAGCCTCAGAATCTCTTTTTGGTGCATTAATTCATTCAGAAAGGGAGCAGCTCTCACTGTGCCTACCCAGACAGACAAGTCAACCAATCAATAAAGTTGATTTATAAAGCCCTTGTTACAGCAAGTCAATTAAATTCAAGAGGAAGCTTTAATATGACAGTAGAAATTAGCAAACGGGCCACAACGGTGAATATTGGTAAAATCACACTCATTCTCACGCTGTGTGGTGTGTGTAATAATAATAATAATAATAATAATAATAATAATAATAATAAATGGTTGCTGATATTTGTCCTGTTTCACACATGTGTGTATTAATACGCATGTGTGAATTGGAAATGTTTGTTTTTGCATATCCCAACTCTCCCTGAGACACCCTCGGAGAGTGGGGTCACAGCTGTGTGTGTCTGTGTGTGTGTGATGGCTGTGTGTGTGATGGCTGTGTGTGTGTGTGTGTGTGTGTGTGTGTGATGGCTGTGTGTGCGTGTGTGTGTGATGGCTGTGTGTGTGTGTGTGTGTGATGGCTGTGTGTGTGATGGCTGTGTGTGCGTGTGTGTGTGATGGCTGTGTGTGTGTGTGTGATGGCTGTGTGTGTGATGGCTGTGTGTGTGTGTGTGTGTGTGTGATGGCTGTGTGTGTGATGGCTGTGTGTGTGTGTGATGGCTGTGTGTGTGATGGCTGTGTGTGCGTGTGTGTGTGATGGCTGTGTGTGTGTGTGTGTGTGTGTGTGTGTGTGTGATGGCTGTGTGTGTGATGGCTGTGTGTGTGTGTGTGTGTGTGTGTGTGTGATGCTGTAGTACATCCTCCTCTATCTACTGCTGTGTCACTCTCAGAACCTCATGTAAATTGATGGTGTCTTGAAGCGGTCATTTGACTGTTGCAACCAGTTAGTTACCATGTGATCAGGAAGTATTTAACCTTTATAACAACATTTCTTCTGCAAGGGAGTCCAGCTTCAGTGTGTGTGTGTGTGTGTGTGTTACTATGTGTGTTACTATGTGTGACTGTGACTGTGTGTGTGTGACTGTGTGACTGTGTGTGTGTGACTGTGTGTGTGTGTGTGTGTGTGTGACTGTGTGTGACTGTGTGTCTGTAACTGTGTGTGACTGTGTGTGCGCTTGCATGTGTGTGCTAAGCTGTGTCATTACTAGCTTAGCTCACATGACACAGGGGTAAGGACACACTGCATGCAGGGAGCCAGGCAGGCACACTTTCAACACACACACACACACACTCACACAGCCATCACACACACACACACAGCCATCACACACACACTCACACACAGCCATCACACACACACACACACACACACACAGCCATCACACACACACTCACACACAGCCATCACACACGCACACACACACACACTCACACAGCCATCACACACACACACACACACACAGCCATCACACACACACTCACACACAGCCATCACACACACACTCACACACAGCCATCACACACACACACTTGCATTCCCTTCTTTCTATCCCACCCAACCCGTTACCTTTCACTGGTACTCCATTGTGTTGGAAAGGGTTTTTACATGGCTGCAGGCAGCTTTAACAATAGGTCCATTAGGAGCCCTGTTGGGACCTCTCTGGACTGCCCTGTAACATGCCTGACCCCTCTGGTCTCTTCACAGGATGTCTCCCATGAATGAACGAGGCTAGTGGACATCCAGACATCTCTATCAGCACCGGCAACCTCTCAATACAGCAGGAAGACGAGTTAAAGGGAAGAAGGAGAAGATTGGGTTTTGTCTACGTCCAGTCCAACTCCCTGGCTGTTGGTTGCATATGTGGTTTGGTGATTTCTGTTGAAATATGCAACTCCCTCTCCTAGGGTGTGTGCTGTGAACATTCTAATCCCTTTGTCTTCAGATAAGGACAGTGGAAGAGAACCACTTTGGGCCATACGTTGATTGGTGGTCTGTGTGGTTGGGGGACTGTTGTATACCTAGTACCCCATACACCCCCCACCTCCACCTAGCCCCGTTATTCATGCTAGACATGAGTTTACCATCCCAGCAGAAACCCAACAGTAAGAGAACAGGCAAGCGCATCTCTTTTTTCAACGACCAAGGAGTGGCGATGAAGGAGACGTCCTCTCAGCAGCATCCAGAAGGTTCTTACTACGGCCTTGGTGCCCCAGCCCCAGATCCTGGTCCTGGCCAGAGTAAGGCTGCAGGCACCGTCACCTCCACAACCTCCAACCCAGAGGCTCCACATACTGGTATGTACCTCAACTCAGTGATCTTCAGTCCAGAGAAAGGAGACCAGAGTCGGGGACATTACCAACAGACTGTACCCATGAAGTGGGCTCACCAGGACCCAGCAGCTCAACCACAGCCTCAACAGAGAACTGGAACTGAGAACTGGACACAGGGTGTAACTATGGCTAACTGGGGGCAGAACTTTGCTCCGTACCTAGGGGGCGTCAACGTCAGTGACTCACGGTCCCAGACCAAGACTGCCTTTGCCAAGCAGCAGATCCGTGAGGGGCCTCCACCCCTGCAGCCCCAGCAGCCCCAGCCCCAGCCCCAGCCCCCTAGTAGGGCTGTGGAGAAGCAACCACCCCAGCAGAAGCAGGTGGTTAACCTTAACCCTCTCCCTGGTGGAGGAGAGGCCTACAGAGACGTTAGGGATGTGGCCAAGCCTCACAGTCTAGAGTGGGAGCAGCAGCATCAGGCTTCCCAACAGCAACAGCAACAGCAACAGCAGTCCCAGAACCAGGTGTTTCCACAGACCCTTAAGCCTGGGGCTCTAAATGCCCAGCAACACAGCACATCCAACCCTGGGGGCAGCTCCGTGCTTCAGCCCTTCCAGCTAGCCTTCGGCCAGCCCAAGCAACACCTAACGGCTGGCTACTACCAGGTGTTTCAGGGGGGCAACAGGACTTTACCCAATCTGAACTACAACGTCCAACAGCCCAAACCCCAACCACATCCACAGACCCAACCACATCCACAGACCCAACAGCCCAAACCCCAACCACATCCACAGACCCAACAGCATCCACAGACCCAACAGCATCCACAGACCCAACAGCATCCACAGCTCCAGCAGCAGCTGCAACAGACCCAACAGCATCCACAGACCCAACAGCATCCACAGACCCAACAGCATCCACAGACCCAACAGCATACACAGAGCCAACAGCATCCACATCTCCAGCAGCAGCTGCAACAGACCCAACAGCATCCACAGCTCCAGCAGCAGCAAATAAAACAACAACAACAGCAACAGAAACAAATATTACAGGAACAACAACAAATGCAACAACAACATCATCAGATGCAACAGCAGCAAATGCTTCAGCATCAACAGCATTTACAACAACAGCAACAACAACTACACATACAACAAGAGCAAGAGTTACAACAGCAACAACAACAACAACAAATACAACAGCAACAGCAACAGCAAATACAGCAACAATTACAGCAACAACAACAAATACAACAACAGCAATTGCAGCAACAACAACAACCCCAACATATTCTAGAATACTACCCCAGCAGCCAGAACCCACCTACCCACCCACACCCTCACTCCCAGCCGCCCGTGTTGGTGCACTCCCAAGAGCCCTCTGTTCAGGCATCAACCCCCCCAGACCTCCAGGAGACGTCCTCAGACCCTCTAAACATTCCCCCCCACACAGAATCCCAGCTCCCCCCTACAGAGACCCAGCTCCAGCCTCCCCATCTCCAGCTGCAGCTTCGAAGATCCAGGAGACTCTCCAAGGAAGGTGGACCACCACCAGTTGACAACCCCTTCCTCATCCCATCTGATGGGGCCCAGAATGGGCCCTCTGAGGGGCCAGGTGGAGCCCCCAAGGCGGATGAAGTCCACATTGCCCAGGTGGCCCCTACAGGGGTCATCCAGAGCACACGCAGAAAACGGAGGGTCTCCCAGGAGGTTAACCTGGAGACACTGGCCCAGAAAGCCTCAGAGATGGAGTCCCTACCGCCACACATCGTCAAGGTAACTGTTTCTGCTACCCTGGTGCTTGTTGTAATGCTTTGAGGGGTATAGTATAGTTACATGATAGTTACATTATATAAACGGCATATCCCATCTTCAATTTTAACCGAACTTTCCATGCATACATATGCACTCGCGTACAAATCTATTGAAACACACAGTGGTGTTGGGCTTGAGGAGCTGCAATAACAGTCCTCTTTGATGGATGTTGTTAAAACATCCATTTGGTTGTTGTTTACCTTTGTATAATGGCAGAGGGATTCTGGATCCCTTATCTAGAAGTAGATCAGAAACAAAAAGCTTAATGCGTCTGACAAGGCCGATCGAGCCTGAAATGATGTTGTTTATGAATGATTAGCACTGAGCAGAATAAGCAATCACCAGCCCAATATTAACACAGCAGATCTGAATGATTTAGCAGTGTCTGTCTTCATGGAAGGGTTTTATTGATAGGTTATGGATGCACAATTACTCATGATATAACGCATGACCTAAAAACGATAAGGAATACTCCTATTTTGTGTGTGCAAAAAACAGCAAGAAATGCAAACCACATGTGGGTATTTTGTCCTCAGTGCAACCTTTGACAGTTTAACCTACTGCTCTAAGTGTCGTTACACCAATTCGGTGCCTTTTGAGAGGTGTAACTTGGTGAAGAAAAAGTTTGATTTCACCTTTTATTTATTTATTTCACCTTTATTTAACCAGGTAAGCCAGTTGAGAACAAGTTCTCATTTACAACTGCGACCTGGCCAAGATAAAGCAAAGCAGTGCGATAAAAACAACAACACAGAGTTACACATGGGATAAAACAAAACGTACAGTCAATAACACAATAGAAAATATATATACAGTGTGTGCAAATGTAGTAAGTTATGGAGGTAAGGCAATAAATATGCCATAGTGCAAAATAATTACAATTAGTATTAACACTAGAATGATAGATGTGCAAGAGATGATGTGCAAATAGAGATACTGGGGTGCAAATGAGCAAAATAAATAACAATATGGGGATGAGGTAGTTGGGTGGGCTAATTTCAGAATGGCTGTGTACAGGTGCAGTGATCGGTAAGGTGCTCTGACAACTGATGCTTAAAGTTAGTGAGGGAGATAAGAGTCTCCAGCTTCAGAGATTTTTGCAGTTCGTTCCAGTCATTGGCAGCAGAAAACTGGAAGGAATGGCGGCCAAAGGAGGTGTTGGCTTTGGGGGTGACCAGTGAGATATACCTGCTGGAGCGCATACCACGGGTGGGTGTTGCTATGGTGACCAATGAGCTAAGATAAGGAGGGGATTTGCCTAGCAGTGATTTATAAATGGCCTGGAGCCAGTGGGTTTGGCGACAAATATGTAGTGAGGACCAGCCAACAAGAGCGTACAGGTCACAGTGGTGGGTAGTATATGGGGCTTTGGTGACAAAACGGATGGCACTGTGATAGACTACATCCAATTTGCTGAGTAGAGTGTTGGAGGCTATTTTGTAAATGACATCGCCGAAGTCAAAGATCGGTAGGATAGTCAGTTTTACGAGGGCATGTTTGGCAGCATGAGTGAAGGAGGCTTTGTTGCGAAATAGGAAGCCGATTCTAGATTTAACTTTGGATTGGAGATGCTTAATATGAGTCTGGAAGGAGAGTTGACAGTCTAACCAGACACCTAGGTATTTGTAGTTGTCCACATACTCTAGGTCAGACCCGTCGAGAGTAGTGATTCTAGTCGGGTGGGCGGGTGCCAGCAGCATTCGATTGAAGAGCATGCATTTAGTTTTACTTGTGTTTAAGAGCAGTTGGAGGCTACGGAAGGAGTGTTGTATGGCACTGAAGCTCGTTTGGAGGTTTGTTAACACAGTGTCCAATGAAGGGCCAGATATATACAAAATGGTGTCGTCTGTGTAGAGGTGGATCTGAGAATCACCGACAGCAAGAGCGACATCATTGATATACACAGAGAAAAGAGTCGGCCCAAGAATTGAACCCTGTGGCACCCCCATAGAGACTGACATAGGTCCAGACAACAGGCCCTCCGATTTGACACATTGAACTCTATCTGAGAAGTAGTTGGTGAACCAGGCGAGGCAGTCATTTGAGAAACCAAGGCTATTTAGTCTGCCAATAAGAATGCGGTGGTTGACAGAGTCGAAAGCCTTGGCCAGGTCGATGAAGACGGCTGCACAGTACTGTCTATTATCGATCGCGGTTATAATATAGTTTAGGACCTTGAGCGTGGCTGAGGTGCACCCATGACCAGCTCGGAAACCGGATTGCATAGCGGAGAAGGTACGGTGTGATTCGAAATGGTCGGTGATCTGTTTGTTAACTTGGCTTTCAAAATCTTTCGAAAGGCAGGGCAGGATGGATATAGGTCTGTAACAGTTTTAACATTGTGTCATAAAGAGCAAATGTTCAACTTAATAAAAAATATGTTTTCTCTTCTCAAGAGGATAATACAAACATTACTATAGTAAGTGCCAAATAAAGTAACAGTGTTCACCGTAACAGGGTTGACGATTTCATCTTAAATCAGTCATAAATCGCCTTGTGATGGGAAATGGAATTGTGTTGTGTGCAACAGGGAGGGGCAATTGAATGCAAGCTTCACAATTTTGTTGTTGTTGTTAAAACATTTCTAGGTTGTCTATCTATGGTTAACAGGGTTGACGTGTTACGCTCGATAAGCTCAGTTTTCCACCACAAAACACCAGAAAAGGCCCAAAAAGAAGCAGCTCGCCTGCTTTTACTCTCTATATGTTTTACAACGTGGGGATGGTAAGGGGTATATGCAGCCTTGGTCTTCCCCTACATTATATCTAGCGTGTAACGGTGCACTCCCTTGTGTCTGCCTCATGCCTCACCATATAGCATATAGAATAGGACTGCTAGGTTAACCTGCTGAATGCTGACTGGACCCGTTTCACTCTGCACTCCTCCATCCTCCCCCATTGATTCCATCAAAGCGGGGGTGTAAGTGTGCGGTGCTCAGCAAAATGTATGCCTCTCTTTCTCCTGTCCTGGTGTTGGGGCTGGAGGCTGGAGTTTTCCACTGGGAATAGACAAGGAATAGGCCTCTAGCATCAGGTCATACTCACTCCTATAGGCATCTGCCACACTCACTCACTCCTATAGGCATCTGCCACACTCACTCACTCCTATAGGCATCTGCCATACTCACTCACTCCTATAGGCATCTGCCACACTCACTCACTCCTATAGGCATCTGCCACACTCACTCACTCCTATAGGCATCTGCCACACTCACTCACTCCTATAGGCATCTGCCACACTCACTCACTCATATAGGCATCTGCCACACTCACTCACTCCTATAGGCATCTGCCACACTCACTCACTCCTATAGGCATCTGCCACACTCACTCACTCCTATAGGCATCTGCCACACTCACTCACTCCTATAGGCATCTGCCATACTCACTCACTCCTATAGGCATCTGCCACTCTCACTCACTCCTATAGGCATCTGCCACACTCACTCACTCCTATAGGCATCTGCCACACTCACTCACTCCTATGGGCTTCAGCTGATGAAATACACTTCATTTTATTATGTTTATTTAGGGAATTGAAAGTCAGTTTACGGCATTATGCTAGTGTTTGCTTCCTGGTAGTATAATTCTATTATAGGTTCACTTCAGTACGACAACACATTAAGTAGTAAGTAGTTTGTTTGCTCATTTGATCTGTAAAGGAAGCTTGTTCAGGTAGCCTCTCCAGTCAGGTATTTGATGATGTGTGTATCTGTCTGTCTCGTCATCAGGCGCAGCACCACAGGCCCTGGAGCCCCCAAAGACCAGCGCCAGGGCGAGGGACCATGGACAGGGATTCAGGGGGCCACAGTGTCAAGCGGCCCCGTGATGAGAGCATGATGCCGCTGGTCATCCCTGTGTCAGTCCCCGTACGGAGGTCAGACCCCCCCTCGTCCTCGTCCTCCCCAGACGGGGAGCAATCTACCCTGGGCGCAGGCTTGCCACAGAGACCCTTCACCCTCCAGGACGTGACCAGCATGGACGGCAAACCCTCCGTCATTGTCACCCGCAGGCGATCGCTCAGGAACTCTCTGTCAGAGAGCTCAGGACAGGTGGGTGCTAGTGTCCTCCCCTCACATACACACCTTACTGACGTCTCCTCTAGTGCCATCAGCAGGGGCTTGGTTCATACCTCTGTTCCCCTATAATCTCTTATAATCCTACATGTCCTGCCACCATGCTCTTGCACTCCCCCTCATCCAGCACCCAACTCTCCCCTGTTTCCCCCAATGTCTCTCTCTGCCCTCATTCCAACCCTGCCCCTCCCCCTCCCTCCCTGCTGCCCCAGATCAGGTCAAGGAGATTAGCAGGGGTTATCCACGCTATAGATGGAGGTATAGCCTACTGCTATACTGTACTGTACAAGAACCAGGGTGGGGGTGTACTGGACATGTTATGTGTGGGGGGATAATGTACAGTATATATGGTGAGGGTGTACTGTGTACTGTATGGGGGATCATGTATATAAGGTGGGAGTGAACTGTAGATAATGTAGAACAGGGGTCTCCAACCTTTTCTAGCATGAGAGCTACTTGAAACATGTCATGCTACTCATTTTTATTCTAGCTTTCAAAAAGGCACATTCTTCTCTTCTCTCCCCTGCAACTCTTCCCCGGGTCCTTAGTGTACAAGAGAAAGTAGTGCACTATGTTTTCTGTCAATATACCTGGTAAAATAATGGTTAATAAACTATTCTAAGGGGGCCCTATAAAATCTGTGATTTTATTTCTCCCAAATTATGTTTTGTCTGTTTTATTTTTCCTGGTTTTAGATTACAATTGTTCATAGAGAAACAACGAAATTTGATGTTCTGAGTCGATGTCAATGCTTAAATCACATCAGAAGACCATTTTTTTTTAAGTCTGGAAGAAAACAAACAAATGTGGATTTATTTGTGTATTTCCCCTTTAATGAGGAATGTGAGGTCTAATGTACCGGTCTAGCGATGGTTCTGTATTGCTGCTGCTCATTTCGTGGCAAAGTTAGCAAATAACTAATAATAGATACAAATGATATACTTCCTCATGATATACTTCTGCCAGGTAAGCCTACTTTGCAGTTAACATTTTAATTGAGAAGGTTTTGGGGAAAGTATTTCTGTCAACCCACAAGATGGTTATCACATGGCTACACGCAGTGTTAGACATACGCCCACACCACACAGACAGACAAGGGCAATATTGATGGAAATTAATTGGCAGATATTGTGTTAGGTTTTGCTTTTTAAGCCAATCGTGGCTAACCAGGGGTGGGATAATGCCAATGTTCCATTGGTTACATAATAGCTGGGAGCTTGCAGTGTCTGATACTTGTGAGATTTGTTTATGACATTTTGCGGTGGAACACATCAAAATTGCATGTACTTTGAGAATAGTTTGGCGAGCTACTCATAGGTGGGCTGCGATCGACCTGTTGGAGACCCCTGATGTAGAATGTATCCTCTCTCTAGTGTCTGACCAGATGAACAACTCACTTAGACTGCATGCTGTAAACATTGCTTCATACTAACTGGTGTATAGTAGTGTGGACAGGGTGGACATGGATCAGTGCCTCGTAGTTTGTCATGTATTTGTATGTTTGTACTGATGTTCTACCTCCTTTAGAACGGCGGAACCGAGGGAGGGAACGACAACGACGGCAAAAAGCCCAAACGGCGTCCCCGGCCCGAACCCCTCTTCATCCCGCCTCCCAAGCCTGGCACCTTCATTGCCCCCCCGGTCTACTCCAGCATCACACCCTACCAGAGCCACCTCCGCTCCCCTGTCCGGCTGATAGACAACCCCCTGACCATGCCGCCCTACACCCCCCCGCCCATCCTCAGCCCGGTGAGAGGGGGATCAGGTCTCTACTTCTCTACCTTCCTCTCCTCTGCTGCCTCCAGCCAGGGTCTTCCTCCACCCAGAGTCTGCCTCCAGCCAGGGTCTTCCTCCAACCAGGGTCTGCCTCCACCCATCACGCCCAAATCAGCCACACGCAGCCTGCTGAGATCCAGTGAGTACCACTACCTGGGGCCTACTGGGGTTGTAGTACAAACCTACTCAACCTGTGTGCTTCTGGGGGTTGTAGTCCAAACCTACTCAACCCATGTGCTTCTGGGGCTTGTAGTCTAAACCTACTCAACCTGTGTGCATCTGGGGGTTGTAGTCCAAACTTACTCAACCTGTGTGATTCTGGGCGTTGTTGTCCAAACCTACTCAACCTGTGTCCTACTGGTGTTTAGGATTTAAACAAGCTGTCATCAGAATGAACTGTAGCTGGTATGGCAACTGCTCGGCCGCCGACCGCAAGGCACTACAGAGGGTAGTGCGTACGGCCCATTACATCACTGGGGCCAAGCTTCCTGCCATCCAGGACCTCTATACCAGGCGGTGTCAGAGGAAGGCCCTAAAAATTGTTAAAAACTCCAGCCACCCTAGTCATAGACTGTTCTCTGTGCTACCGCACGGCAAGCGGTACCGGAGCGCCAAGTCTAGGTCCAAAAGGCTTCTTAACAGCTTCTACCCCCAAGCCATAAGACTCCTGAACAGCTAATCATGGCTACCCAGACTATTTGCATTGTCCCCCCACCCCACCCCCTCTTTTACTCTGTTTATTATCTACAGTGAGGGAAAAAAAGTATTTGATCCCCTGCTGATTTTGTACGTTTGCCCACTGACAAAGAAATGATCAGTCTATAATTTTAATGGTAGGTTTATTTGAACAGTGAGAGACAGAATAACAACAAAAAAATCCAGAAAAACGCATGTCAAAAATGTTATAAATTGATTGTCATTTTAATGAGGGAAATAAGTATTTGACCCCTCTGCAAAACATAACTTAGTACTTGGTGGCAAAACCCTTGTTGGCAACCACAGAGGTCAGACGTTTCTTGTAGTTGGCCACCAGGTTTGCACACATCTCAGGAGGGATTTTGTCCCACTCCCTTTGCAGATCTTCTCCAAGTCATTAAGGTTTCGAGGCTGATGTTTGGCAACTCGAACCTTCAGCTCCCTCCACAGATTTTCTATGGGATTAAGGTCTGGAGACTGGCTAGGCTAGGCCACTCCAGGACCTTAATGTGCTTCTTTTGAGCCACTCCTTTGTTGCCTTGGCCGTGTGTTTTGGGTCATTGTCATGCTGGAATACCCACCATCCACGACCCATTTTCAATGCCCTGGCTGAGGGAAGGAGGTTCTCACCCAAGATTTGACAGTACATGGCCCCATCCATCGTCCCTTTGATGCGGTGAAGTTGTCCTGTCCCCTTAGCAGAAACCCCCCCCCCCCCCCCCCAAAGCATAATGTTTCCACCTCCATGTTTGACGGTGGGGATGGTGTTCTTGGGGTCATAGGCAGCATTCCTCCTCCTCCAAACACGACGAGTTGAGTTGATGCCAAAGAGCTCCATTTTGGTCTCATCTGACCACAACACTTTCACCCAGTTCTCCTCTGAATCATTCAGATGTTCATTGGCAAACTTCAGACGGGCATGTAAATGTGCTTTCTTGAGCAGGGGGACCTTGCGGGCGTTGCAGGATTTCAGTCCTTCACGGCGTAGTGTGTTACCAATTGTTTTCTTGTTGAATATGGTCCCAGCTGCCTTGAGATCATTGACAAGATCCTCCCGTGTAGTTCTGGGCTGATTCCTCACCGTTCTCATGATCATTGCAACTCCACGAGGTGAGATCTTGCATGGATCCCCAGGCCGAGGGAGATTGACAGTTCTTTTGTGTTTCTTCCATTTGCGAATAATCGCACCAACTGTTGTCACCTTCTCACCAAGCTGCTTGGCGATGGTCTTGTAGCCCATTCCAGCCTTGTGTTGGTCTACAATCTTGTCCCTGACATCCTTGGAGAGCTCTTTGGTCTTGGCCATGGTGGAGAGTTTGGAATCTGATTGATTGATTGCTTCTGTGGACAGGTGTATTTTATACAGGTAACAAGCTGAGATTAGGAGCATTCCCTTTAAGAGTGTGCTCCTATTCTCAGTTCATTACCTGTATAAAAGACACCTGGGAGCCAGAAATCTTTCTGATTGAGAGGGGGTCAAATACTTATTTCCCTCATTAAAATGCAAATCAATTTATAACATTTTTGACATGCGTTTTTCTGGATTCTTTTGTTGTTATTCTGTCTCTCACTGTTCAAATAAACCTACCATTAAAATTATAGACTGATCATTTCTATGTCAGTGGGCAAATGTACAAAATCAGCAGGGGATCAAATACTTTTTTCCCTCACTGTATGCATAGTCACTTTAACTCTACCCACATGTACATATTACCTCAATTACCTCGACTGACCGGTGCCCCCGCACATTTACTCTGTATACCCCCTGTATATAGCCTCTCTACTGTTATTTATTTTATTTTTTACTTTTCAATTTTTTACTTAACACTTATTTTTCTTAATACTGCATTGTTGGTTAAGGGCTTGTAAGCATTTCACTGTAAGGTCTACACCTGTTGTATTCAGCGCATGTGGCAAATAAAATTGGATTTGATTAGCTGTGGGAGTTGGATCATAACATTATTCCCTCATATAAACGTTTCTTGAGTAATGCGCATGAAGTAAGCACACTTCCTCAAAATCTGCTATGCTAAATATTTCTGCTGTAAGAAGATAAGAATAGTACATTTAACAGACTTTTTTTTTTTTTTCAGACAGCGTTGACATAACCCCACCAGTGCTCTCAGTGATCGGTGAGGCCACGCCAGTCAGCATAGAACCGTGAGTACACACACACACACACACACACACAGAACACACCACCCTCCATACTCCCTTCACCCCATTATCAGTTACGTGTATGGATCTCAAGTTTAAGATCCGAGCCTGAGAAATCAAAGTACTCTTAAATCAAAGTACTTTTAAATCAAAGTAATTTTAAATCAAAGTCATCTTAAATCAAAGTACTTTTAAATCAAAGTACTTTTAAATCAAAGTACTCTTAAATCAAAGTTAGAGTCAGAGCAGATATTCATCCAAGGCCAAACAACTAGTCAAATGGTACACAGTGTGTCTTTCTCAGTGATGGTGCTGAGTCTATTGATATGTGTTGCAGCAGAGGAGGACTATTTGTATGTTAGTTATGAAAGGATAGATTGGGTGCTTTGGATCTGACCCAGTTAGCCTGTATCACAGCCCTGATTTTATCCACAAAGACAGAGGAGTGTGTGTGTGTGAGCACGGTGTGTGTGTGGGAGGTGGGGGTGGTTGGTGAGGAGAGACAGGGTGCATTGTGGGTTGTCTTACATTCCCTTTCTTCCTCTCTCTGACTGGTAGCAGCTGGCTAGTAGTCAGGCCGGCCGGGCGGGCCAGGCGGGGACATCCTCCAGTGGTGATAAATCAGGTCTTTCAGCTGAGTCTGGAGCAGCCAGCCTCCACTTTGTTTCCTCTTCTGCTTCCTCCTTAAACAGTCCCCCTCAGCCCCCTCAGCCAGATCAGTTTACAGCAGGGGCCTGTTGATTAGTGTACAATGTAGCAAAACATTTTGCAACGGGGAAACAAATACGATTGTTTCTTATTGGAAAAGTCCATGTAGTCCTCAGCCAGATCAGCTTACACCAGGGTTAGTTCAGGAGGCTAACTTTGTGAACGTTGCAGATAGAAATCATATTAATAGAGCTGACGTGATCCTTTATTCTACATGTCACAGATGCTTGTTTGTTTTACGTAGGCCTAATATATTTCTATCTGAATGTTCTACAACGTTGTGCCCTGCTGAACACTCCCCAGCTAGCTCACTCTGTGGGAGGGGAGGGGACCTGAACTGAGCTAGCAGGCTGCAGCCCAGGGAGGGAGCAGGCAAAAATAGTGTCTGCGTTCCAGACTGTTTTCAAAGCCGCCAGTAGCTATCATTGGAGGGGTATCCTGGGGGTAACCTGATCCACTTACAGCTTTATCATCGTCCTGTTGCTTCAGTGCAGCAGACAGTTATTTTAAATGATTAGCTGTGGCTTATTTCTGCCAACCAGCCGACCACTAGTTAACTACATGTCTGTATAAGAACACTTATTCACATTATTTTTCTTTAAATAGAAAATTGACCTAACTTACGAAAGCTTCCCTGTCAATCACAACAATATGATCTAGAATTCGAATAATGGAGGCTGTGCCATAGCAGCACATAGACTGCCTATCATGCGCATTTCAGAAAGTGTCTCCCATCTCTCCAACTGACCACTGACTGTACATTCTGTCATCTCAGGCGTATAAACATCGGTGTGAGGTACCAGGCAGAGGTACCAGAGCTGAGGCAGCGTTCAGCGGCCCAACAAGACCATCCCAAGGCTGAGCTGGTCTGGGCTCCTCTTCACAACCTAGAGGCTAAACCTGGAGATCGGGAGAGAGGTAACACACTAACATACGTATCAGCTGACTTTCCCACCATTAATAATCTGTCATAATACTGTCATTAACCAGGTATTATCCAATAGAAATTAGTCAGTAAATCAAGCATTCAGTAGTGATTTGAAGAACCCAGTGGAGAAATTTTGCTGATCATGCTATCTCAATCACGATCTCTCTCTCTCTCTCTCTCTCTCTCTCTCCCCTCTCTCCCCCCCCCCCGCCACCCTCTCGCTCTCTCTTCAGTGGATGACCTCATGAACCTGGCGTGCTCAAGCGCTCTGCACGGTGGAGGGACCAATCAGGAGCTAGCGCTGCACTGCCTGTACGAGTGCAATGGTGACATCATGGTGAGCAATGCATGATGGGTCATGATGACTGAGGAGGGATGACAGAAAACGAAAAATAGTGTTTGGGTGTTGACAGATTGTACCTCAGTTTGTGAGGCTTTTCTTCCATCTTGTGTGTACTGAACAGAGCACTGATCTTGGGATTTAACGGGACCCCGGCTGTGTTCCAATATCCAGACCAGCATATAACTTGCTAAACCACCACCAAATGCATACACAATGCATTACATTTTTTATGTTTTGATTTGAGCCATTTAGCACAGCACTCTCTACCTCCTGCAAACACAAATGGTGAATGGTTTGGTAAGGTATTAAGGTGAATGGTTTGGTAATGGGATTAGGGTGTATGGTTTGGTAAGGGTATTAGGGTGTATGGTTTGTAAGGGTATTAGGGTGTATGGTTTGGTAAGGGTATTAGGGTGAATGGTTTGGTAAGGGTTATTAGGGTGTATGGTTTGGTAAGGGGATTAGGGTGTATGGTTTGGTAAGGGGATTAGGGTGTATGGTTTGGTAAGGGTTTTAGGGGTGGAGGAATTGTTAGTGCTGTCACTCAGCAGAGTCAACCACTGTGTATCTAACACGTAGCAGATGTGGTGCAGCACAGTGGCTAGTGAGTCCACTATTCCAGCTAGTAGCCATGTTCTCCTTGAATCTAGGTGTTTTTTTGTTATCAGATATGCTCAGTGCTCTATCTGCCCAATGTAGAAAACGCTTACACACACACATACACTGATACAGTACACGCACACACGCTGACACACGCTGACACACTGGAGTAAAGGTCATGTATGGGGCCTTGGGCAGAAACACAGCAATGTGTTCAATTAAAGAGATAGAGAGAGAGAGAGAGAGACAGAGAGAGAGAGAGAGAGAGAGAGAGAGAGAGAGACAGTGAGATAGAGAGAGAGAGCGAGACAGTGAGCTAGAGGGAGTGAGATAGAGAGAGGGAGGCGGCCTATACTAGTGGCTCCAGCTTGCAGCATTTGGCCATGTTGTTGTCAAGGAGACAGGGTGGCTGTCAGTGTGTGAAGTTCTCTATCTCTCTCTCCCTCTCTCTCTGTCTCTGCAGCAGCAGGAGGCATGTTGCTCTCTTACAGTATATCTCCCGGTTAATCCCCTCAGTATTAGGGACAGATCAGCCTATCAATATCAAGTAGAACTCTGATCAGTGTCCTGTGTGTTCTCCAGAAACCAGCCAAGTAAACCTTGATTTAAAGTATTGCTCGGAGACTCATAAACTGTTGCAAAAAATAAACACATTTTTCATTTATTGCTCTTCAGAGTTAATTTGTAAATGGTTGGGTTGATATGTTGTTCTTGGTTTTCAGGATGCGTTGGCCCGCCTGCTGTTGAAAAACCCCATCTTCCCAAAGAACCACCGTCTAGGATACTACCACTACTCCGGTTGGTCATGACATAGAACTAGGGTTGCAAAATACTGTTCACTTTCCTAAAAGTCCCAGGTTTTCCAGAAATTAGGAGGGAAAAAGCAAGAAATCTGGAATCCTCTAAACAGGATTTCTGGAAAACCTGGGAATTTTTTGAAAAGTTACAGGAATTCTACAAACCTACATATAACACTTTATATCTGTACAGTGTTATGTCAATGGTTATTGCACTGCTTTCTCCCCTGGCACTCTCTTACTGTGTCTCTAACTCACTCTGTGGGTACTTTTACCAAATCAGAATCATCAAACTTCACTGGATTATGTCAAAGTGCATTCCTGCAGGCATGCCTGTGCTGTCTGAATACTGGAATGAGTCCTTTTCTTCTCTCCTCTAGTAACAGGGGGAGGCTCCAAAGCCCCCCTCAGCCTTAAACAATGGCAGCTGAAGGGAGGGGAGGTGCTAGCTGGTGGTGGATGGAGTGGGAGGAGGGGTGTGTGTCCGTGGGTAGAGGTGGGGGGGAAACTGTGGAGGATTGAGAGTGTTGCTGGGGGTGATGGGAGCGGAGTGAGAGGTGGAGTGGGAGAGGACGGGGTAGAGGGGGTTTGTGGGGTTGTGGCATATGGTTAATCCCAAGCAGAGGACAGAGAACTATTGTTTGTCCAACCAGTCGTGTGTGTGTGTGTGTGTGTGGTGTGTGTGTGAGAAGCTCCTGTGTGTGTACAAAAAAGGGGGTA